TTTGCGGACTGCTAACCGTCATATTCATTTTATAATGTGGAGCTTGTGAAAAAGCAGTTGAAGAAGCACCGTTCAGGGCAAGAGCACGAGAAACTGCAGCAGCTGCTCCAGAGAATGGTGAGTGGGTCAGAATCGCAGGTGGGCGGGGAAAACAGTTCAGGGCACACGGGAGGTGGTTCACAGTCCCTCCTACTCACCCATCTCACCCACCTCGTCTTTGCTTCTCAGGAGCAGCAAGAACTGGCACAGCAGGAACGCAAGCGGCAGCAGGAGCTGCGCCTGGCCCTGAAGCAGGAGAGGCGGGCTCAGGCCCAGCAGGGCCATCGGCCATACTTCCTGAAGAAATGTAAGTGGGGCACAGCTGTCACAGGCTGGTTACAGGGACAGGCTTGGGTGGCCATAGAGGCAGCATGCTGTATTGGGGGTCCGTGAGCTCCCTAACGAAGTCATGAAGGCTGGATCCCATGGGAAGTTGGAGGAAAATAGAAATGGTAGGGAGGAGTTAATTTGTAACTATTCTTGTATCCCTAATTATAGATTATGGGCAAGGAGTGTTGCTTTTATCTCTCCCGCCTCCCCTACATATGCTGGGCCAGGCACATAGAAGGAGCTCATAGTTGGTTTAATGGAGAAAGCAGGGAATGGTAGAAAAAATCTGCTTGCTGCACACACCAGTGAACTCCAACCAAGTCATGTATCCCAGCATCGAGGTTGAGAAGTACAGACCTGGGGAAAGGAAAAGAGGAGTGCCTCCTCCCTTGCTTATCTGCTTTCTTTCTCTTTGTTCTCTAGCTGAGCAGCGCCAGTTGGTCCTAGCTGAGAAGTTCAAGGAGTTGAAACGTAGTAAGAAGTTAGAGAGCTTCTTGAGTCGAAAGAGGCGCCGAAATGCAGGCAAGGACCGGAGACATCTCCCTTTGAACAAAGAGTAATGAGGAACGTTCTCAGCTCTGCCACTGCCCCAGTGAGAAACGGATCTATGGGGACAGACTTGGGCTTGGCCTCTTCTAGTTGTTTTTCATGAAAGGGCAAGGATCATAGCTGCCCTTGAGCTAGATTGGCTCAAAGATGACCAGAGGGCTCTTGGACAAGAAGAGCAGCCCAGCCTTCTGTCCTGGCACACTTTCTCTGCTTGGATCTGGTTCATCACGTCCTCATGTTCTCCCATCCTTGCTTTAAACCAGTGATCGTGGTGTAGAAGAAAAAGGGCCAGTGAGTGAGTGAGTGATCTTGAGGCTAGTGAAGGCTGTAAAGTCTGTTGATAGCTCCTAGTGCTGGGACTTTATGTAAGAGCCAAATTGTAAACATTCCTGTTATTCTTCTTTTTATTATTCTTTTTTGGTGGGTTTTTCGAGCGGCCTAGAACTACTGTTTCAGTGGGCCATCTGTGGGGGCTGGCAGCAAACTTAAGGCTCCCATAAAGTGGGAAATCAGACCAGAGACCCCTCCTACTTAAACCTCAAAGAAGACACGATCATTGAAAGGGTAAACCACTCTCACAGCTCACCTACGTAGTTTTGGTTTTGGATACAGAGGGAGAGAGGAGGTGAGGACAGAAAGTTTCCCCAGTAATGTAGAAGCACAGCTGGTTGTCGGTACTGTTTGGATCTACAGTTCCTACTCCCATGTGGACTAGAGAATCCTCAAGCTAATTAATGATTCAGTTTGAAGTGGTCTCAGGTTGGTAGTGCTTCCAGGCACCTGGCAGAAGCAAATGTAATCTTCACTTGGAGGGTTGTACTTGAAACTCAAGCCTCAAGGAGTTCCTTTAGATAAAATTTGAAGGAATGTGAGCTTTCAGTGAAAATACGAAGCACACAAGGGAAGAAATCACCATGAGCAAGAGTCATCGGGGACAATAGAAAACAGACTCAGACCAGCAAAGACAGATGTTAGAAATATAAAATACAAAACAAAATATCTTGCTTATATTTAAAGAGAGACTATGACTAAAGAAAAGAATATCTAAAAGGACCAAACTGGTTTGATAAAAAGTAGAGCTTTTAAAAATGAACAATATACTATTTGAAGTTAGAAACTTTAAGGTTGGGGTGCCTGGCTTGCTCAGTTGGTGGAGTGTGCGACCCTTGGTCTTGGTCTTGGGGTTGTGAATTTGAGCCCCACGTTGGGTGTAGAGATTACTTAAAAATCTTTAAAAAAAAAAAAAGAAAAGAAAGAAAGAAAGAAACTTTATGGGGCACCTGGGTGACTCGGTTAAGCATCTGACTCTTGACTTCGGCTCAGGTCATGATCTCATGGTTCGTGG